AGGTTCCGAGGAGAGAGCACGCGGTGTCACCATCGATATCGCGACTAACAAGTTTGAGACAGAGAAGACCGTCTTCACAATTGTAGATGCTCCCGGCCACAGAGACTTTGTCCCCAATATGATAGCTGGTGCTAGCCAGGCCGATTTTGCTGTTCTTGTTATTGATTCAGGCACGGGGAACTTTGAGTCAGGCTTAAAGGGTCAGACTAAGGAACACGCTCTTCTAGTGCGGAGTATGGGTGTCCAAAGGATTATTGTTGCTGTGAATAAGATGGACTCGGTGCAGTGGAACAAGGATCGCTATGACGAGATCGAGCAGCAGGTTTCAGCTTTCTTGACCACTGCAGGATTCCAAGCCAAAAACATCGCATTTGTGCCATGCTCAGGCATCAGTGGCGACAATGTCACAAAGCGAAGCGAGGATCCAAACGTATCATGGTATACAGGTCGCACCTTAATTGAGGAGCTTGAAGCTACCGAGCCTTACTCTCATGCCCTCGACAAGCCATTGCGAATGACCATTGGTGATGTCTTCCGTGGAAGTGTGCAAAACCCCCTTTCGATCTCTGGTCGAATCGATGCTGGCAGCTTGCAAGTGGGCGACCAAATTCTCACGATGCCTAGCGGCGAAACGGCATTGGTTCGAAGCTTGGAAGTGGACAGTGAACCGAGCGACTGGGCTGTAGCGGGCCAAAACGTGGTCCTCAACCTTGCAAACATTGACCCCATTCACCTGCGTTCTGGCGACGTGATCTGTCGTGCCTCTGCTCCTATTGCTAATATCATATCATTCACAGCCAAGGTGCTGGCATTTGAGCATCTGATGCCCAGCATGGTTGATGTTCATCGGGGACGCCTTCACGTGCCTGGACGGATTAGTCGACTCGTCGCAACGTTGGATAAAGGCTCTGGCGCTGCCATCAAGAAGAAGCCAAAGATCGTTGGACCTGGCTCAGTGGCACGAATCGTTGTGGAAATGGATCATGCAGTGCCTTTAGAGGCGCCGACGAGGATTGTTCTTCGGGCTGGAGGTGATACCGTTGCAGCTGGGTTGTTGGAATGAGTGATTTTTGAGCAGCTTTGCGCTGCCTTTAAGGAGGAATATATTTACTTCGTCAAAGGTCTATTATAGATATACATACTTAACAAAAATGAAGACTACAAGGGTTTTGTATCTCCTCATGCGCCAGGGGTTTAGAAAGCAGTCAAACACCAAGATAGGCCAGACAGTGAGAAAGGAAGTACAAAAGCAAGAGCTTTAGTTGGAAACAAAATCTCAAAATACCGAGCTCTGCGGGACCGACCTTAGGGCTATATGACAATATAGTTTCCGAAATAACCTCTGATATATATCTTCGCACCCCTAGATGCCCCTCAAATAAATTACTCTATCATGTAAGAACCAATACCTACCCTCAAGCCAGTTCTCCACTCATATTCGTCAAGTAAGTCTAAAGGACCCTCCACGGAGAAATACCTCGGAGAAATAGCGTACCGCAAACCCCGGACAAAAGGTGGAGTAGACGAGTAAAACTGAGGGGGATGACAAGAAAGCACAGTGTTAGAAGATACTTTCCCACCCAATTCTATTACTCATGTTTCCATTTCGTCTGGGACCTTCTACAATTCACTTGGCTGGGTTGCATTCGGAGAAATATGCGGATGTAAATATAATCCTGCTCGTTCTAGGATAGTGTTGGCCGTATTTGAATTACATGGGATTTTGAAAATGACTTTTGGGAAATGGAGGTGGAAATTCTGTAGGTTTGTGTTGGGAGTAATTTTCATTTTGTGGTTTTCTTTGGTTGGGTTTTGTAGCCCTAAGGATTGAGATAGAAGTGTCTCTTTGAAGGCTTGGGTATACTTCATTAAGCCGTGGACTTCTTGTCCAAGTCCACATAGGGTATATAGCATGGTTTTTGGTAGTGTACACTATACAGTATTCTGACTCATGACTATATAACAATCTTACTAAATGAAGTGCGTGCCCGTAAAGGGATTTTGTGATTATGGTCACGTTTCTTTGTTCTATTGAACTAGGTAAGAAACCAGCTATGTATGGACAGAGTGGTTACAAACGTATATAATCTGGCATGGAGATATGCACAAGGAATACTTGCAGAGCCGACTGTAAATGTTCAGGTCGAGAGTTAGTTTGGTTTTATTGCATGCACGTTCGGAGTGGTACATACGTATAATTGTATATAATTGTTAGATTGCTTATACATACCACCCGGAAAAGAAGTCCGATGGGCACAAATGAAAGAAGTTAAGGCATGATGATAGTGAGGCAATTTGGATAGCTGATGAGCTGGCAAAAAGACCTAGATAAGTAGGCGATGGTCTTCTGACGGATCACATCACATCAGGCTACCTAGACCCATCACGAGCCGCATTTCTGACCACCAAATCTTCCCTTTAAAAGGAAGGATGCCCATGGGGATTTTGAACCGCCAGCCAGGGCACGATTTTCTCTCTTTTCTTTTCTTTTCCTCTTCTCCCCCCTCAAAAACTGTCATGCAAGCTTTAATAGGTCTTGATTACAAGCTTTGGTACCACCTTGTTTTGGTTGTCGAGCCAGTAGAGGCTGACCAAGTTCTAGGACATCTCCGAGAAAAGGTACCTCATCGAAATCAACCTCCCTGGACTTGTCTTGATCCCTCTCGAGGTCCATATGAATTTCGGAGACTTGGTGTTGGTGAACTGAATGACAAAAATGGAATGGAAGATCCATTCTACGGAGTTGATATCCTGTTGGTTTGAATAGGCGGAGAAAATAGAACTTTTGTCCACACTTCTGTTCTCCAGAGTCCATGTAACTTGTACGAATAGCATTTGGGTCGCTAGTCTCTGGGACGGCTGATTTGTGTACCTGGGAGACCAAGGGGATATAGCAGTAGGCAAAGGGTTGATGCCTTCGACAAGCTTTGAGCCTCGTTTCTTCGTGCTGAAAGTCGTCACTCGTTCCCAATCAAGTCCATATGTTTTCATATATACCTAGCCTTCGACTTCATCCGTCTAACCCTTGTTTCTATTGTTATTTCTATTGCGTCGTGGTCTGTAAATTGAATGGAAAAACCCTCATCTTCTGTGTCTTGGAGAGTTGAAGAGCCTTTAGCTCAATTAATGTAGCCCTCTGCTTCGTCCTTCCTTATCTTAAGCTCATCAGCATCACTGGTTCAACATTAAACTACGTTATAATAAAAACTAAATTTTGAATAGTAGAAAAAGGAGGCTATACATTTAATTATACTGCGATTAACTAGGAAATAATGGAAAAATAGAATAAGGAAATTTTTCAATTCTGGTACGTTGTATAGAACCGAGAACTTTCCAGTCAGCGTGCTACGAGTAATTTTCAAAACTACAGTATTGGCCATTACAGGGAGTTTGACCTCCCACGCAATTCTCCGGACTGGGTTGAAGCTTTACCACGTCCCATAGCAAAAGCAACCAATTGGAGAATTACCAACCATCCCGCAAGCTCCATCCTATAACAGGAAGGAGTGAGACGTATGATCATTCATCCAGTATTCGCGTACGAAGACAAACATGGTTCAATATTTGGAACCCAGCGAACTTATTTATAACCATGGCTTTCCACTCTCTTCCTCCATTGAGTGGTTGAAGAAACAACTAAGAAGACAATATCTCTATTCATAATGGGTGCCCTTCAGCCAACTTCTGATCCTATCCCTTCTACTCAGACTGTAGCTCTGGTTTCGGAGCTGGGTGGAAACGTTGAGTTTCGTGAGGGATATTCAGTTCCTACACCGGGAGAGAATGAAGTCCTGGCGAAGGTTTTGTATACTGGTGTTTGTCAAAGTGGTGAGTTTGTATATATTCCTTCGCTATTATAGAATACGCGACACAAATGACATGGGCTTGATGCACATATGCTAATCTATTAAGATATTAGACCTTCATACAAAGAACGGCACTGCAGCTGGCCCGTCTGGTGACCCCATAACCAAGATAAAACTACCCCATGTCGGTGGCCATGAAGGAGTAGGCCGGATTGTGGCACTTGGGCCCGGATGTGGTTCTGATTTGAAGGTCGGAGGCCTTGTGGGAATCCGATTCTCGAGTCGGATCTGTCGGCGCTGCGAGTTCTGTCTCGCTGGGACGGAGCAGTATTGCGTCAAGAGCACAAATCATTTGCACCATGAGGATGGTAGCTTCCAGGAGTTTATTGCACTTGATGCGGATTACTTGACGATCTTGCCGGACGATATTGACCCGGTGGTCATTGGGCCGGTTTTGTGTGCCGGTGTTACAGCTTATAAAGTCAGTTGTTCTGATATGTCCCTGTCACTACCGCTAGAAATACTGATACCCTACGTAGGCGGTGCTAAATGCTAACATCAGGGCGGGGCACTGGCTGGTCGTTGTTGGGGCTGGAGGTGGCCTTGGACATTTGGCTGGTGAGTCGTCGCAATTGAAGCTGTATCCACTTATATGATGCTGACTTGAACAGTTCAATATGCAAAAGCCCAAGGAGCATTGGTCATTGGTGTTGATGCCGCGGACAAACGTGACTTTGTCCTTCGCCTTGGAGCCACTGAATTTATTGACTTTACCTCGACCGACCCTGTCCAGCGCGTCCATGAAATAACCGGGCTTGGGGCGCACGCGGTCGTAGTTACAGCCGGAAGCGCAAGGGCCTTTGCCCACGCCTGCGAAATGCTACGTGTCGGTGGGACGCTGAGCTGCGTTGGCATTCCACCAGGCCGACCAGTGTTGGAGACGCCGATCTGCACCATCGTGATCAAGGGGCTTAAGATTACCGGAAATCTTGTAGGCTCTTTGAAGGAATGTATGGAGGCTGTCGATTTGGTTCGTCGTGGCGTGGTAAAACCAGAGATTAAAGTCCGAAAGTTTAGAGAGTTGCCTCAGGTATATGAAGAGATGGAGAAAGGTGATATTGCAGGAAGGATCGTGCTACAGGTATCGGAGTAACAGCCATCATCATTCACACAGAGAGCATTTTCCGTGTATGACTAGTCATGAACTCTCGTTGAGGGCTGTGAATTGAACTCATCCACATCATATACGGAGAGGTCCATATACTCATTCATAGTGCTCTCGTCATCCGCTTTTTGTTCATTATAGAATCTTAACAACCGAGCAGGTGCGGTCACCAAAGCTTCGGCCGTCTTTGCATGCAAGATAGACTTAAGCATAGCATCTTGCTCTAAAAATGGGAGAAGCTTTTGGTACAAAGCATGCAGAAAGTCCTGAGGCCCTAATCGAAGATCATATGATGGAACTGAGGGCGTATACAGAACAATATCGGCAAGTGAGTTTGTGACTTCGAAACATTTCAACAACTGAAACCGTGTTAACACCACCGTCGGCAGAGAAAGAGGCTAAAATACCTGATCACGACCCAGAGGCAACAAATCAGACTCGGAGAAACCCTGTAATGAATACAAGAGGTCCCGACTGACAAAGGCTGGGAACTTGAATGTAAGAAGCTCAGCGTAGGCTTTGGAGGATAACATCTGTCGAGACAATGCTTCCTGCCAGATGATCGTCCTCATCCATTCCTTGGTAATGCAATAGTCCGCCATACGGGCAGTTGCCCTGCCACCCTCTCCTAGCGAAAGCATGGACAACGCTGCTTCTGTCTCTGTAAGGCAATCGGCCGAGATGGCATCAGGGTTCGAAGCGCTGGTACTCCGTTTGAGAGAGACGCTATCAAAAGCCGCGAAGAGCTTAGCTAGCTCCAACAACCCTTGAGCATACTCATTGCCTGCTAAATATATTCTTTCCGGTAAGCGAATCGGACTCGTATACGATGGTAAGAGCCCAAGGTGCATTGCATAGCCCCTGAGAAGATCAACATCCACTTTACCCACGTACCCAAACATAAAGGTGACGTTACCTCTCGGAAACCCAAAGAAGAGTGAACAAAATCTCCTCATTCGCAATTACCTTATCACTATTGGCCCTCGTGCCACAATCCCACTCATCTAGCTTCAAAAGCCTCGCTCCAGAGATAGCCTCTTGTATGAACATCATCGCTGAATTCCGCTTATTGATCTTCGCATGATACACATGCAGGAAAAACGAAACAAGGATACTCTTCGTATCCAAATTCTCTCTATAATTGCTCTCCTCACGCAACCTTATGCACTCACTCGCCATTGCTGCACAGTCGACAACCTGTCCATCATCTACCAACGGCGGAAGCTGCAATTGCGCCATCGTCGCCGCGCAAAGCGCCGCAGCAAGGCAATAAATATTAGTGTTATGGTCCCCGTCGCCCGCGAGTCGCCACACAAGCACCTCTGCATCAATCACCGGCCAAACACTGTACGATGAATGCTGGTACCTACGCACCACCGTTTCGAGTACTGACCGAGAGATCGTCCTGTGACCATCGTGACTGTCGTTCGAAGCGGAGGCATCCGTCTCCGAAACAGATCTCACAGTATTGATTTTACCCGTGTGACGTCTGACTTTGGGACCTCTTCTACGCGCTGGTTTGAGGTATGTGCATTTCACCTGTTTTGGGGCGCTCCGGCATGTGTCGCAGGGCCAGGCGCCGCTGCATTTAACTTTGCGGGTAATGCATTCGTCGCAAGCTCGCTTGGCGAGTTTCGGGCGCATGGATTGCGGAGTATGTTGTTGTAAGTCGGTATGGTTGTAGTGGAGAACTGGATGGGAAGGTGATGTATGGCAAGTGTATGCGGAGAGAGGGTTGGAGTGAGGGGAAATTAAATCGATTGCCGGCCGGTCACTGGACCTGTGCATGGATCTAGACCGTCGACTATGGCATTTAAGAACTTATGTAGAATGTTCTTCGCTCGGGCTATATTAAATGCCGATCGCTGTGAGCTTTGATTATTAATGCTATTGCAGATAGTTATTACCAAGTAGGTATACTGTAAAATTGATCGTATGATCCAGTGACCAAGTTAGTCTTGCATTTATAGCTGCTATTCCTAATATCCCTACAGTCTAAGGATACACGAGTCGCTCACACACAATGCAATGGTGTTTTTAGTTGTTCAGTCGTAGCCATATCATGTCTATTTATTGGCCTCGATGGGTATAAATTGAATGCTGTAATTTCTCCGTCTATATACATCCCTACTTGAGTTTCTTATGGAGAAATATACCGCTGAGCCATGATATATTGTCCGTCGAGGGTCAGGGCGATACAGAAACTAGATCTACTATGTAAACAAAAACCACCATTTTGCAGGTTCAAATCCAAACCCGAAGGTATACATATCCCTATGTACAAGATCACACGAGGCATTACAGGGAAAACAATATCGTCCTATGTACTATTTCGAACACTGCTTCCCTCCACCAACGCACTAAGCTCCGAACTAAGAAGGATCATAAGATCCAAGTGCTGTCTCTCGGTGGAAGTCAATTGAAGAACACCCATTTCACGGAGGACCACTGGGGTATCTTTTAGAATCCTCATACATTCCGGATTATCAAAATCGGAAGGTTCAGTGATGATCTTGCATAACAGATTCAAGATCGCCGAAAAGAGATAGAAACAGATGAACCTGATGGAATTTTAGATTTTGCATTCTAGCAAGGATTAAGGTTTCGCGGCTACGTACCAGAAAATTTCTCTATTTAGGGTGAAGCATGTGGCACGCAGGATTTCCAGAGACGAGACACTCGCTCGAACTGATAGATTAAGGCTTGATCGAAGAGCCTCCGTCATGGGACCGCATGGTCGGCATCGACTTACAGCGTGGTGTATGCTCCCTAAGCTGTGATGATATCTAAGGTTGATCAAAAGAAGTTCGACATCTGTAGTTGACCGTGTGGGAAGATCGGAAATGTGGAGGGTAGGTCGACAGGTTTTAGGTATTGAGAGTCGCCATGCTTCCAGCTCATCGTCGAGAGCGCGGATAGTTCTCAGTATTTCAGTGTCGGATTTCTGGAGAGAATGTGGCTCATAGAGTTCCGAGTATACCCTTGACATGACCAAGCTGAGCTTTAAATGGGATATGGAAGACTTTGTACGGTGATTCTGAGGATAGCGTGTAGGTAACAGCCTCGAAAGATAGTCAAACGGAGATTCCGTTGCGTCTAGTGAAGCGGGTATTAAAGACTCGGCAAGCATAAGAACCGGTGTACCCGTTCGAAAGGCCAATTCCTTATCGAGCATGAAGCTGTTCCAATAGAGTGTTCGAAAGGTAGATTCTTTGTCACCAGTACAATATGGTGCCACCGTTCCTTCTGGACCCGAAGGAGGTTCAGAGAGCCTCGTGATTGAAGATAAATCGTTCGCTAAGCGAGCCACATAGCTCATTAGCTCCCTTGCGCGCTCTAACCTTCCCTGCGAGAAGTGAAATAGAAGCTTCTCGATGATTAGCCCGTGTAACGAGAATATTGTTGGTTGATAATGATATTCGGAGAAAATGGTAAAGGAGGGCACACTGGCCGGGCCACACTTACAAGTAGCAAAAGAACTTGTAGTTTACCCATACTATGTGCCGGATCATGGACAGTGGAGAGCAGGCTTTCAGCCTCGAGGGCACATTGTTCGCCATCAACTGGATATAATATATGCTCCCTGCGATCTGCAGCGGTGCAAAAGGCAACGAAGGAATGCACAAGAGCCTTAGCAATGGAGAGAGCCTGGGGATGTTTTCCACTTGGAGGAGAATAGGCGATCTCCACTGAGTCCTCCAAGAGGGACATATCAGCTATAGGGTAGATCAGGCCAACTTTACCACACTTGCAGAAGGCTATGCATGCTTCAGTGACGAACCTGTCAGGTAGCTCGACGGGAGTTCCACCTGACTTGAGGCCTGCTCCCTGCTCTAAGCTTAAGTGATTACGAGAACTCGCCCATGGAAGACCAGATGACAGAAGCGTCTTAAGCATATCAGAAGTCCCATGGTGAGACTGAATCCACTTCTGCCCCATTGGGGAGAAAACCGGGATCCCATAATATCGAAAGAATACGCTATTATTGTCTTGAGTGTTCAAACTCCGGTTATATTGACCGAGCTCATGGCCTTCAACAACTTGATTCTGAGGAAGGTGGTGGCTCGCATAACCGGCAACAGGGGTGATTTTATCTGTTCATAGCATTAGCCGCTGCTATAAACGACACTTAGGAGCTTAATTCCTACTCACTCATATCTGATCGACGGCCACTATTAAACACCGAAACGTATTCGTCGGGAATCTTAGCATGTGCGTGTTTATGCGCATATTTATGCGCGTATTCAGAACTACCAACATGATATTAGACGCGTTGGAGGCATCAATATTGTAGGGTAGTATGAGGGGTTATTCTACTCAGAAGAATCGTCTGCCCTTCGCTTTCGTCGACCATCTATGCCTGTATACGTGCATTCTAGCTCTTGATGTAGACACCAGTCGCATTTGGCGGCGTTGCTCTTCTCAACGCATTTAATCTACGGTCAAATCAGCACCTCCATGCTACCTTTGAGTGAACTGTTACTGGCACCGATAGCACCTGCTCACCTTACGCGAATAACATGAATCGCAAGCCTTTCGCGGCCGCCCTATTCGGGCGTCGTGGGACTGCGGACTCATATGCCGGACGTAAAAGCAGTCGAAGTATAGTACCGGCGGGGTGGAGGGCTACCGAAACGGTATTGTTCTTCCTTCCGCCGGAAGGTACGGGTCCACGGCAGAGTATCGGCCCGTCTTGATCAATTAGGACTCATACCGATGTTTTGGTTCTTAATTTCGGCTTGCGGCGTCTTTCTCCATTGATACCGACCAACTCGGCATGTAAGTCGACGGTTGGCCGTGGACCCTTCATCGGAAGACTGGAGGTCTCGGAAGACTATTCCTCATCTGGCCGAGCCAAGTGACGGCCCAGAAACAAGATTGGGCACATTGTCTCCCAGAGACTTGTCGGCTAGAATTAGGAAGGACAGTCAAATATGTAAAAGCCGTCACTGCAGCTTCTACCCAGACATGTTGCTCTAATATATGCCTCCGAGTTATATCCCGAAGTATCGCAAGCATTCTGCAAATCAGCTTCACGCAAAGGATCTCAATCTCAAGACTATTTTGTCCTAGACAACCCAATCCAGAAACAGACATAGCCTGACCGCTAACCAGAAGCAGTCTAGTACCGAATCCACCCAACCATTGGGAAGGTCCATCCAGCAGAACGTCTAAATCTCCTACGGAACCGACGTCATGAGATCTAAATCGGTGATCCATGACATATCCACCTTGAATAACTATATAATATAAAAGTCCTGCAAATTTTCTCAATCGCTGGAGAACAAATCCCAAATACATATTTCCAGATTTACAATTGAACAAATCCCACCACCAAAATGGAAGACAAACCTCTTGCACCCGCGAGCAAAGATGTAACTTCCCCTCAATTCCCCACCACGCCTCCCTCTATACAGAGTTCACTGCACAAACACATACTAACAACAAAAATTGCAGCTCCGCGAACTCACAGCCCAAGAATCCTCCGCCGCCGTAATCTTCCCCTCTTTCACCTCCACAACAGCCTGGTCGCTCGGTCTTGCTCTCCGATCCCGAATCCTCTCTCTCCCAGCGGATCAGCGCAAGCCAGCTCTCATCTCCATCGCGCTTACCGGCGGGTCCGAGCCACATGTTGTATTCCAAGCCGCGACGGAACCGGGGACTTTCGCTGATAACGAGGTGTGGGTGCGACGGAAGCGCAACACCGTGCTGCGATGGGGAGTGTCGAGCTGGCTGATGCGGAATAAGATGCTGACGAGCACTGGTTTGGGGGCAGATCAAGTGGAGGCGGCTTTTGTGAGGAAACATGCCTTGACGAGTACCGGTGGTGGGGGGGCGGCGGATGACTTCGCGATCCATGGTGGGGCGTTCCCCGTGCGGGTGAAGGGAGTGGATGGTGTTATTGGCGTGGTGGTTGTTAGTGGATTGAAGCAGGAGGATGACCATCAGGTTGTTTTGGAGACGATTCGGGAGTTTATCCAGCAGGGCGGACAGTGATGGTCTAGTTGTATAGCTGGTTTATCAGCCACTCAGTGTATAAATGGTGTTTGTACCAAGGGTATAAGAATTCACGAATTCTTAGCTTAATATTTGTGGTATTGAATTGCATAACATACATACCCTTGACACAAAATTAGTGAGATGTATGATATGACGATTACAGTACTAATTATAATCAGGGAACGAGTGCTGTCACGACGTTCAAGACCGTGTACATCGAATAAATAAGGAATCTGATGTCGTTCAAGTTAACCACGTCATCGCCCTAATTGAAGGCTTCCAGTCATTCTAGCATAGAGAACTATGGTCTATAATTCTGATTGGCGCTACTATGTATGTTGTTTTTATTCCATTCAACTATTGTATCTTCTGCTATACAGTGGGTCAGGGCCAAGCTGCTTGATAACCCGCTATGGATAGTGCTTTAAAGACTGCATTTAGGAAAGCTTCGGCAACGCAAGAGGTTCTGCCATTTAGAAAATCTACCATGGTTTCTACCTGTTGTAACAGATTTACATCTGGGGATGGAGAATCTTGTGATTGAAGCTAGTCAGATAATATTCAAGGTATCATGCTATTCCTGCCACCTCATGTATTGAGGTCTAATAAAAAATGATTCAAACCAGCCAATAAAGCAAGATAAAACTCCATACATCCCTCTAAATATTTTACAATTCGTCATGCCCAGAGGGCTCGTCATCCTCATCAGCTGGAGCAGAGCCATAGAGCTTGCTGGTGATGGGGTAGGCCACATTGGACAGCTGCTCCTTCTGCTCCTCAAAGTCCTCGGTGGTGGCTTCGGCACCGTTGTCCTCGAGCCAGTCTGTGACCTCCTTGACGGCGTCGAGGATGGTCTGCTTGTCGTCCTCATCGATCTGGCCACCCAAGCCGTTCTCGTCGTTGACCTGGTTCTTCAAGCTGAAGGCATAGTTCTCCAGAGAGTTGCGGGCCTCGATCTTGCCCTTGATGGCCTTGTCCTCCTCGGCGAACTCCTCGGCCTCAGCGACCATGCGGTCGATCTCCTCCTGGGAGAGACGGCCCTTGTCGTTGGTGATGGTGATGGACTCAGCCTTGCCAGTGCCCTTGTCGCTGGCGCTGACCTTCAGGATACCGTTGGCATCCAAATCGAAGGAGACCTCAATCTGGGGAACACCACGGGGGGCGGGGGGAATGCTGGTAAGCTCGAACTTGCCGAGGAGGTTGTTGTCCTTGGTCAAGGAACGCTCACCCTCATCTAGGATCAGTTAGTGTGGGTTGCTATAAGATTTTCATCCAGAAAGTAGACTTACAAACTTGGATCAGAACGGTAGGCTGGTTATCAGCGGCGGTAGAGAAGATCTGGGACTTGCGAGTCGGGATGACGGTGTTACGGGGGATGAGCTTGGTCATGACACCGCCGGTGGTCTCAATACCGAGGGTAAGAGGGTTGACATCCATCAGAACGACATCTTCAGTACCAGCCTGACCGGAAAGGACACCACCCTGGACGGCAGCACCGAAAGCAACAGCCTCATCAGGGTTAATACCCTTGCTGGCCTTCTTGCCACCGAAGAACTCCTCGAGAAGAGCCTGGACCTTGGGAATACGGGTAGAACCACCAACAAGGACAATGTCGTCAACCTCGGACTTCTTGACCTTGGCATCCTTGAGCACCTGCTCAACGGGCTTGAGGGTCTTCTTGAACAGATCCATGTTCAGCTCTTCGAACTTAGCACGAGTGAGGGTCTCAGAGAAGTCCTCGCCGTTGTGGAAAGACTCGATTTCAATGCGAGTAGACATCTGGGAAGACAGAGTACGCTTGGCCTTCTCGACTTCGCGCTTGAGCTTACCCATGGACTTGAGGTCCTTTCTGATGTCAACGTTGTTCTTCTTGTTGTACTGCTTCACGAAGTAGTCCATGACACGGTGGTCAAAGTCCTCACCACCAAGGTGAGTGTCACCAGCGGTAGCCAAAACCTCGAAGACACCGTTGTCAATGGAGAGGAGGGAAACATCGAAGGTACCACCACCAAGATCGTAGACGATGACCTGGCGCTCATCACCAGTCTTGTCCAATCCGTAGGCGATAGCGGCGGCGGTAGGTTCGTTGACAACACGGCGAACGTTGAGGCCGGCGATGGTACCAGCGTCCTTGGTAGCCTGTCTCTGGGCGTCGTTGAAGTAGGCGGGGACGGTGACGACAGCCTGGGTGACAGACTGTCCGAGGTAGCCCTCAGCGATCTCCTTCATCTTTCCGAGGACCATGGCGGAAACCTCCTCAGGGGTGAAGGTCTTGGGGGACTTGTTCACGTCAACCTTCACGACGGGCTTGCCATCCTTGTTGACAACCTTGAAGGGGAAGTTCTTGGTGTCCTTGGTGACGTCCTTATCATCGTACTTGCGACCAATCAGACGCCTGCGAGACATTAGCACATCAATTCACAGTACGAACTAACCAGAGAAACTCACTTGATATCAAAGATGGTCCTGACAGGGTTGGCAGCGTATTGGTTCTTAGCGGCGTCACCGACCAAGCGTTCCTCATCGGTGAAGGCGACGTAGGAAGGAGTGATACGGTTTCCTTGGTCGTTGACGAGGATCTCGACCTTTCCATTCTGCATCACACCAACACAACTGTTGAAGAGTTAGACATTGCAACGCCCTTGGTCTTGCTTCATAGATGCAGAACGTACGAGTAGGTAGTACCCAAATCAATACCAATTACAGGTCCATCGTCTTGTACAGAGTCCTCCTCAGCGTGTGCGGTACCGAAGAATGCCAGGGGCGCGATGAAAACAAGAAGAAGGTAGAAGATGGTGGTCCAAGCAGTGAACGGCTTGGCCGCACCGTTGCGACTCGATAGTCGCGCCATTGTGCCTATGTGTATATCGAGCGGTGGTCTTCGCCAAGGGGCACGCGTGTGATTATCAGGAGACGTGTTCGTAGTGAATCCCTTGTGCTTCAATACAGTTTCCTGTATTCAAGAAAGAGAAGCAAAAGGAAGAAAAGGGAACCCAACCACAGGCGACGGAATGGAAGGGGGGCTGAAGGGAAGGTTGAGGCAAAAGAGAGAAGTTGCTGAACGAAGGACGTGAGTGGAAGAGATCGGCTTTTTTAAAATGCTTGAGGCCAGAGAAAAGGACAGCATGGCTGGTACGGCCATCGCTCTGCAGGTTACTCCTCGCGTTGTGATTGGTGCGTCGACTTTCAGGGACCAGAATGACTCATCCGCCTTGGACACCGCCCTTTATTCTGCCGGCGAAATCGCCCCGAAGTTGTTCATGGATGTTCTGCAGGCGGTCCACCGAACATACTAGAACCGTATTTCATTGGCTAAAGCCCCTGTTAGGTAATCATTCTTGCTTGCCCTATTTTTCAGTTCCCCCGGCCATCGGATCTGCTCCTTTAGGATACGTGGACAAAGGATCTCGTCGACCTCTAATTGTACAAGTACATTGAGTACACCGTGTACTTTCCATATCTCAAGTTACCCAACCGTTGTCATTGTGAAGTCATGACCTCTACAGCTTAATGACTTGCACAACATTCATACACGTGGCCACATGCTTGTATCTGCTTGTCGGGCAATGGAGGATGACACCCCTATCTATCCACCCTCGAGATCGTAATCCTTGCTGCTTAGTACCACATCCCCATGTTATGCTTCGCAATAGACTATACTAGTAGACAATAGGCCAGGCTGTCATTAGGGATCTCATTGTACTAAGCCCACCCCTTTACGCCATGCCCAAAAGATATATGACATGTAAAGTTTACCTAGTAGGGTCCATCATACTATTACCAATAGTCTCAAGAGGCAACTCGCAACTTTTTTGCAAAATCATTCTTCGTCACCCTAGAGATTTCATTAGTCGATGTATTTCAGCGCTCAATTTGAACATTTGCCACCTCATTGTTTCTATGAAGTTCTAAGAACGATTGGAGTAGACGTTGTGGCAATATATAAATAACGGAGACCACAAACGTCTTATAGAGAATTGAACCTTGTTGGTCAGAGGTTGGGAGATACGATGAAAGCAAGCAAGTCGATTTATTATGTGGATATTATCTATCAAAAGGGTTAACCAAGAATACGAATTCTTTTTATGGATAGGCGTTCAAAACGTTCTCCGTGATCTGCGTAGGGTTCTCTATCAAACAAAGAATCGGTGGCGCTGTCACGCGGTTTGTATCTAAAAACACCAGCACACCTTGAGAAAGTGCTTCCTGTTCGGTAAAACATGAAACGAACATATGAAACGAGATGTCAAAATTTCGAGCCAAATTGTTTAGAAAGATAAATCAAACCAAAAAAGATTGAAAAGTCAAACAAAGGTTGATACAAAGGTTGTAGACACCTCCAATAGTAGTTATTTGAGAGAACACTTTCTTTGACTACCGCGTGGTCTTTGTGTCGCATCTTGCCATAAGGCTATGCCAAGCCTGTCCATTTACTATTTTGAAGTAATAGAGAGTCTACCTTTTACATCACTCGTCGCAGATCTTTTAATTTGATATTTCTGGCACGTTATAAATAGAAGAACCTTTGTTACCTAAAATAGTAACCAATTTAAGCGCATCAGATTCCTAAGAATATCGCCTAACCAAAGTATATTTGGAAAAAACAGAAACAATGGGTGGATATCATTGAGTCAGTCATTATCATCAGCAAACAAAATGCAGGATTACATATGCATAATCAAAGAGGTATACCCACATCTTCCCTTGTCTGAACTCGCGGAACCGCCGAATCGGGCTTTCTGAGTTCGCTGCCCCGTCTCCCGCTGCCAAATGCTTCGATGTCATCCCCCTCATGTCTGCGACTGCCATGTCCATATTGGGTTTCTGGAAGAAGGACTTCACCATTCATTGCCCGTTTCCGTAGCCAGTAGTTTCGCATTCGATCAAGTGCAGTCTTGAAGTCGTCGAGGATGACGGTATCGCAGAGACATTTGAAGATAAATGATAGCTGTTCAGATGCGAGTTAGTAACTACCCACCGGAGGATTATCCGGAGTGGAGAGCTTACCTTCCAGAATGGTTCAACTCCAGTAGGGAGCGTATGTGCTGGGAAGGCGTTCAGAACGACACAGGTATCGATGATTATGAACACTATGGAAAGGCACATTGATGCTAGCATTATCCCGAATCGCGGGCTCACAGTCACCAATTCAATGATGCCAAAGTTGTACAAGCGCTTAATGGTGTAGAAGAGTGAACAGGTGGTGAAGACCCACCAGGGGTCTCTGTAACTTGGTCAGCATGATGTGGACGGAAGCAGGAAGAGGGTGAGATTACCGGAAGAGAGGCTCCATTGGCCTTGTCGTGAGGAAGATTTTATTAATATTATTGAAGTAGGTAAAATTGGCGTAGATTTCTAGCACCCAGTATGGCTGGACTAATAGGACCGTGATGATATAAGCTTGTGAAACCCTGCGGCTCAGGAATGGCTTATTCTTCATCCACGCAATGACATTATGTAGAGTCCAGGACACATTCAGTCCGATAGCACTGCAGGAGAGGTACCATCCGTAGGCGGGTTCTTTGGGGAAGATGAAGGTGCCATGGGCCATCGCGAGAATAAGCTAGATGATATCGCGACTCGTCAGCACTCCGCGCAGAAAGGATAGATACCGTGGAAAATTTGGGAGATCACAAGTCTACAACATCAAGACCAAAGCATACCTCGGCAAAAATCAGTTTATGCAACAGAATGTGTCTCTTCATGTTCGCAAAGGTCACCGCGGCCATCACCAACAGGGAACCGACCATCAGGCCCTGTCCCCAGGCCTCCAGGACAAGATCATCGGGATCTGTGGGCCGGGTGATACGATCCTCAGACGGAGACATTGAGAGGGGGGAGCAACCATGACCAGACTGGTTGGGTTAGTGATTTCGATTTTTGACCGTCGAACTTGCGGTGCGCAGGAAGAATGGAGGAAGTATATAAAAAGAATTCATGGCGTAAGCATGAGCACGTGCGAAATGGAACGTGGAAAAAAATATGGTTTCTGGGGTGCAGTAAGTACAGTAACTAGTGTCGGCAGGTTGACGCTCGACGAGGAACTCCTGTGGTACGAGGCCAGACGTATTCGTACTAATTGCGGGGATAGTCGTGTGTCCATTAATTTCCACCGGTTAATATGGTGCGACAACCAAAGCCTAATTTCTGGACGACGAGGGTTTTCCCCGACCGGGTGAGGCTAGACCGTTTAAATGCCTCGTACCGGTCATCTTGGCCAATGTGAATATCGCCATGTCTCCGTTCCTGGTGGAGGTTCCTGCTCCTTTTCTCATCGGGACAGGCGTCCCTAGGTTAGGTTGAACACTAATTGAAGTATCCATGATTCCCGAACTCAGATCGAGCCAATTATTTCAACTCCGCAACCCTTAGTCTGTTGTTGGCTCGGGCCACCCTAATTTTTTTCGATGAAGCCGATGGGCGAAGGGAAAGGAAAAGCATTGGTCCCCATGGGGCTTTTTCTCCACACCCGTCGACTCTGGACCCAAATTGAGCCACTACGTAGTACTCGGACTGCTGCACATTTACGACGTGCATATTCCAACGGTTTTGGGCACAGGGGCGAGAGAGTTAGATTCAGCTTCTACAAATCATTAAGACCCCCCCCTAAAAGCACTTAAAAAAATTTGATCTATAACCAGTCCGTCCTTAAGAGTACCAATTATAAAATCGCACTGCCAACGGTCATGTGGACATGCGTCCCACTCATGGTCGTACCGTGGCGTCAATTTCGCCCTTCTCTCCAGCGAGATTGGCTTCCTTTGGAGGGTGACCTCCCCCAAAAACCTCTTGCATTTCTTCCAATGAATGGTTGGATGTCTGGCCAGAGAGTAAACCATTAGCTGGTTCACGTTTTGCTTTCGAAACGGCAGAGTCATATCCCAGAGCTTGGGGAATACCCCCCTCCTTCCCCTTAGGAGAGAATGAAAGAAGAACAAAGGAATAGACTTTTAAACATACCTCTTTCAGAAAGAACCATGAATATACTATGATCGCATAGTTGAAAATCGCAAACATCAGGAACATTCTCCATTTGATGTTGGTGATGGCGTGTGGCGTTATCTGCGACATCATAAAGTTGAACAACCACTGCGACGCAGCACCGACGGCTACTCCCACTTCTCGTGTACGACTAGAGAAGATCTCACCGACATACAGCCACGGGAGAGGCCCCCAGGACATATTGAAACTAAAGGCCTCCGCGTAGGTCATGATAATCATGGCGATCCCCGCTTTCGTTGGCGCCGAGTTGGACCCGCCCGATTGTGTGGGATGGGTCGCCAGAACACATGCAATGATGAGCATGAATGAACCCATTGCGAATGCTCCAACCATGAACGGAACTCGTCTTCCAACACGGTCAAGAACAAACAGTTGAAATATACATACTCCGACTACCTTGACCACGCCAAAAAAACCGGTCACTAATTTAGCTTCGCCCTCCGCTCCTACGGCTTCGAAGATCTGATTGGCATAGTAAGCGAGGGATGTGTTTCCCGTCAACTGGGCGCATAGCTGAATTGTAAAAGCAATGAAGATGCGGTAACGATTCACTGGTAGAAGAAGCTCGCGGATGGTGAAACTCTCCTTGACACGAGATTCTTCCTCGATGCCCGCAATGATTTCATCAAATTCCTTCTGGAGTTCCTCAGTTTCTTCACCTCCACGAACCCATTTCAACGACTCCCATGCTTTATCTTTCTTTCCCTTCGTGGCAAGCCACCGAGCACTCTCTTTAACTGTGCACATGCCGAGTAGAAGCAAAGTAGAAGGCAGTAGTTGCAGGCCCAACGCAATCTGCCATTGCTTCGTGGCATCTGGCTGGTCCTTCGACACGGCGTAAGTAACCCAATAGGCGACCATAACCCCAGTGGCAAAGAACAATTGGAAACAGGCCCCGAGTCTTCCACGAATCTCTTTAGGGGCCATTTCTGCCGCATACATAGGTATCAACGTCGTGGCGGCGCCGATACCAAGTCCAGCAATTACTCTTCCAGCGTAGAAAGTTCCCAGGGTATGAGCGTTAATAACCTGTAAGATGGTCCCTACGGTGAAGATAAGCGAGCTCAATATGAGTCCAGAGCGGCGGCCTAACTTCGAGGCTATGGGCATTGTGAAGAAGCATCCAAAGAATGCCCCAGCCTGAAGAATTGACACCGCGTTGGAGTTGACTGTCGTTTGCTGCGAATTACTATATCGGAAATCTCGCTGAAAGGATGGCAATGTGAGGACACCGCCTGCATGGTTGAGTTAGACAAACATTGTTATTCAGTAAAGGTATTTACAGTAGTTTCCGACATACTAATAACACCCGTATCAAATGCGAATGCAAAAGAGCCCATGCAGCTGGCAGACGCCAAGTACGTGGCGCGGAAGAGGCCGAGCTTGCGACCCATAGTTGGTTCTGCTCTGAACAAGCCGTCTTCTCGGTATAGTGGAGCCGCAGCGCAAGACGTTTGGTAGTCTTATGAACGAGAAACCAACAAGCAAAGCCAAGCAGGGCGTAATAGAATTTAAAGCAACTGTGAGAGCCGCCAGAAGCTTGACACCCCTTGCGCAACTGCCGCTGCCGCGTGTCGTCTGCACAAGGCTGTGGGGAGGCTAGGAATTTACCTATCCACTCAGAGGACAAAAACAGCATATGATATGATATCCATGGTGCAATAAGATGCAGTCATGGGTCCTTTCTAGGAGCATTATTTCACAAAGAGCAAGTTATCGGTAGATCGTGCTGTTCCCCGCTCGGGACTTGTGATAGTAAGTTAGAGGTAGCTCCATGCTCCAAGGAAGGTGTTGTTTTGATCTAGGCGTTCTGACGAGACTGGTTGGCTGCGGATTGGTCGAATCATGGATTGGATGGCGTGCTTCAGACGGCTCGAGAGCGTCAGGCCGGACCAACGCCAGCCGCGATGGTCTAAAAATGTTGACTGGAGAGGTTTATATAGTAACTACTATCGTCCTCCATTGAAAGAAACATAATTCATGACGGAAAAAATGCGTAAAACGATCTTTGCAAGTCTCGTGCGGTCGCGGCATCTGATCGCGGATTCACAATCAGAATGTGGAGTCGATTACCTACCCCACAAAAAGGCGATGATCGACATGGACTCTCCATGGGATGATGGGTGAGGTCTCCACTCCGGATACTGTAAACACTGCTGTTAGGAGATTGCCATTTAGCCAGACCCATGAGCATAGATAGAGAATAATATTGATAAAAGTGTGTATATACCTCCTAAGGTGTCGAAGCACTCCTGTACGGAATCAGGACCGAAAGATTTGCATCGATGGAGCTTCCGAGATCTGACTTGGTCAAAGACAACAGTAGCAGAGGTTGATTCAGGTAAGCAGCTGCTGAGGTGGAAGAGTGGGAACCGGAATTATTTGACGGAGAGTAAGCATTGGGATGGTAGTTGGACGCCGCTGTTTCCTAACACCAAGTCTAGGGTTCCGCCATTACTAGCCTTAGCACCTTAGGCACTCACGATCAAGAAAAAGAATAAGAAAGCAAGTTGACAGCAAGAGAAGAAGAAAAAGAGCAGAACTGATGAAAATCTAATAGAAAGGAGGCAAGTAGAGAAAACAAAATGATAGACCAGATTGAATAAAATAAAATGACAAAAAGCTCACCCTCCTTCTCGCCTCAAAAAGGGCGTACTGGAGGGACAAAACCCCGAAGGATTTTTAATGTCGAGTCCGAGACTCGAATCAAGGAGCCCGAGGTCAGTAGTCGGGTAAGCTGCCTACCACTGCACCATCAGGACCCCTGGCGGTAGTATTAGGATCGAATTTGTTCATCTGTTTGCGTCAGGTAGTCCAAAAGGGGAAGCGCGGTTGCCTGGAATGGAAGGCAAGCATGGTGGCCTGGGGTTTTGGTTGATGCCTGAACTGCGTATCGCAGACTTGACGTACAAGGTTTACCTTCAGCCAGATAGGAAACTGGAATTCGGATATGCCTGCTGAGATTCCGGCTCATAAACTTGGTTAGGGGCGTATAAACTACTAGGAATACAGGGAGTGTGAGCATTAACATATGGTCCAAGTGTTGGGAAAGTATTGGGCTGGTACCTGCGGGCCTCAGACTTGTTGCTAGTATGATCATGCTACATTATTTGCCTAGATGCAGCTTAGAGCAAGAGGGATAAGCTCAAATGCCGAGAATGTGAAACGTACCTGTGCTTCCATGAATGATATTACTTTGCCAAGAATAAGCTTACATTAAACAGCAGCTTACAACATTTGATATGAGACTGCTTAGTACGTAGGAATCCGGTTAAATGCAGGGAATTACCATTAGCTCGCGGGATTTCAACTCCGACGGTGCTCCGTATTTTAGACATTGATACGAGAAGTGATCGCCAACCACGACGTATCATCCAAAACAAATCTGTACAATGATCAACAACAAATATTATTTGCTAATTACAACCCCGCTATAGCTAGCTGCAGTTGCAAGTGTTCTTTGCTTAATGCTCCGATGGTCGATTCAATATATGGAACACTTCCTAGTAGTTCGAAGGTCTCTCTGAGCACGCTGCGTATATGGTACTTGGTATGAAGCCTGCATATATGAGTTGGACAGCGAGCTCCGATAATAGGATGACATAAACTGTCAGACCGATAACTTTCCAGAGGTCAGAGGATATAGGGGTATATATCGACTACTACCTTGATTGGATAGGGCTTAGCGGATTCCACCCTCGGAGTCAAAGAACTAAATACGAGGAATCTAGGCCTTAGTAGGCGAAGCTTGCTAGGTGGAGTACATCCATGTTTCATACTATTTCCCTTTCGCAATAGACCGAGGCAGACGTGCCCTAACCAGTAG